TTTTTTTTGACCCCTCTGTATATTTTGTCAAGCTCTGTCATTGAAACAGAGAGGATAGTTTTTGGCTATGCGAGTTCGCGCAAATTTCTATGTTCATGGGCAGCGCAAATAGCATAAGCATAATAGCATTAAAAAAAAAATGCTAATGCATATCAGGAGCGAGATTTTTTCTAATTGAGGGTAATATAAAGACAACTTTTTTATAACACCTTTTGATACAATTTTTACATGATATTAAATAAGTAAATACATTAAGTATTACTAATTCTATATAAATTAAAAGAATCAATATTTAAATGACATGTCAAGTTGTATAAAAAAATAATAAAAAAAAATTATCCCAAAACCATTTTCCTTTTCCAATAACCTTTTCCATTTTGTGCTGTTTCGAGTATTCGGGAAATAAATCAAGATCAACAAATCCAGCAGTCTCAGCTAATCAATCACGGGATTAGAGCAATATCACCGCGGCCTCCAATATCCCGTACGTGTATGTTTCATCAATTGTAAATAATTGGTTTCCTTATATACTGGTAGTAGCCTTCTCTCTCTCTATATATATAGAAGATAGTGCATATAAGTTTACTCTTAAAAACATTTAGAGTTCAACCTATAAGAGGAAACCAAAATTTAAATTCAAAATTTCAAAAATCTATCATAGTAAATATTGACACTTAGATTTAAAAACCAATTATCTATTCTAATATAATCAATTTTCTAATTTAGATATCAACATTTAATAAGATAAATTTTTAAGTTTTAAATTGAATTTTAATGAAATAAAACAATATCATTTAAGGTTAGAACTCTAATTTGTTTTGAAAAATTAAGACTAATATGTACTTTTTCCATATATATTGTAATACCCCAAAATTTCTAGACCATCAAGTGAGAGTTAGGGACCTAATTGTGAAGAAATACTATTAATAAATTTAATGGCAAATATTTTCAAAGTTCAAGGACTTAAAAGAAAAGAAATTAGGATAAGGATCAGCTGATATTTTCATTCCTTTTCTTACCAGCCATACACGTTTCTGCTCTGCTCTTCTTCTTCGTGCAGCTCGACAAGCCCCCCCAAAGCCACCGACTTCCTCTTCCTTTGAAAACCGAAAAAGGGGCTTGAAATTCTCCTTCTTTCTTGTTCAATAACAAGATTTAGGACCTAGAACACTCTCCTAAACCCAGAAAATCCCAGATCTGCTCTGTTCTTCCCCTTGTTGTCCGTCGGCCTCTGCTATCCGTGATTTCTGGTCTTTTTCTGGTAAGATCTAGCCATGAATCCCTCTCTTTAACCTTGATTTAGGCTGGGTTTACCTTAATTGCTTTTATTTCCCACAATTTTGAGGTAGCCCGTGAGCCCCCTGCAGAAATGCCGCCGGCTTCTTCTCCCTACCAGCTCCGGTTTGCTTGCTGGAATTCTGGTAAGTTGCCGGCTCTTCTAAGTCCAATTTATCCATGTAGTTGTTGCCTTGTGTTGATTGGGTTTTTGCTTTTGAATTTGCCCTTTTGCTGTCCGAAACTTGCTGGAAGTAGGGGATGAGTTGGCAGCCCTTAAATGTGTTTTGTTGCTTAAATTATGTGGACATTACTTGAATTGGCTGCTGTGATGTTTTGTGTGAAAATCCCGTGTGTGTGAGTTGTGGTTTGCCAAAGCCATGCTCTCCTGCCCGTGAGAAATGGGGAATTTTGGTAGATTAAGCTATGTTTTTAAGCTTAGTTTAAGTGTAAATTAGCTTGAATTGGGTTTTGTTGGTTGTGAGAACGTGATGGGAAAATAAAAAGGAAATTGGTTATTAATTCTTGAATATTTTGATTAGGTTCTTGATCGTTCAGTCAGTTTAGTACGTGAATTGAGTGCTCAGTTTTGCGGAGTGAGGTAAGTAAATTTATGGTAATGCCCGCACTGTTTTTAAAAGATGTTTTGACTTGTGTTTGAAGTGGTGGCGAGACTAAACCCGTTTTATGCAAAAGTAAGTATGACTGATTTGAAGTGAAGTTTTATGCTTTTCATTAAATTGAGCATGCCTACTTGAAATTTAATTGATTACCCCGATGATTTGAAAGTGATTAGTAAAGCATGATTTTCTGTTAACTTCTGCCTATTTTGTCTCCGATACGGTCATGTTATCCTGTTGCCCGCTAGTGGGAGGTCAAACGCTAGCACATGTCGACATGTTCCTGATAGAACCGGTTCATTCCTGTAATCCTACTAGTGGGAGTTAAACACTAGTAATTCCTGTTGTCTGCCAGTGGGAGGTTTAAACACTGGCCATGACCTATAGAGGAGACGTCTATTTCGTTCCCGTACTTGTATCCGTTTTCTGATTACACTTGTTGGCATGCTATAAGTTTAGTTGACTACTACTGAACTTTATTCTGCATAATGGTTATCATTGAGAATTCCGTTTATGTTTAAACTGTTTATCTGAAATGCTCAAATTTTACCCACGGGCTATCCATACATTTACTTATTGAGTTTATCTCATAGTTTTTCCTTGTCCACTATTTCAGGAAATGAAACCGAGGATGGGGAAACCACGAGAAGTGACGAATTAGAAGGCTAGCCATTTCGAGATTGATATAATTTTAGAAATAAATCATGTTTTTTTTGTAAGATAGATTTCACCTTGTGATTTTAAGTTTAAGTCATGTTGGACATAGATTTATGGAATATATTATCATTCTTGGAAGATAGATTCTACCTTGAATTTATGGTATTAAAACAGATGTTGCGAGAATAGAGTTTGGGATTTGAATAGGTTCCGAGCCTTGTGCGTTTGTGGGACCCGTCTCATGAGTGCACGGCGTCTGTCGCGCTTCGGATTTGGGTTCTGGGGCGTGACATATATATATAATAAGATCATTGATTCATCCTTTAAGCTTGTGTCCTGTTAGTGGTATCATAGCCAAGTACAAAGAAAAGCATCATAAGAATCTTAGCATTCTTCACATCCATCTGAAACAATTTTCATTTTCATATAGCAACAACAAGAAGCAAACTATCTACGAATGTGAGACGAGCAACTAGAGCAAATGTCTTCTCATAGTATATTCCACACTCCTATGTAAAATCCTTAGCAATGAAGCATGCCTTGTAACACTCCATAGAACTATTAGAACGAGTTTTGATTTTGTACACCCATTTATAGCTTATCAAAGACTTTCCAGTAGGGAGATCAATTAAATCCCATGTACGAGTTTCTCAAGAGCTTGTAATTTAGCTTGTATAGCTAGTTGTTAAGGAGGATTAGAATAGAATTCTCAATAGGATTAAGGCTCATGTAAAGATGCAATAATAGGAAAACAATAATAATCACAATGGTAGTTAGGACTATTTCTTACTTGGGTAGCATGACTTGATGATGGAAAAAAGAACTCATTTTCAAGCTCAATAGTGTCAAATGCAACATCAACAAGTGAGGTAAAAGAGGTAATGATAAAATGCTCAAAATTATCTAATGCATTACCTATAAACAAAGCATCTTCTATAGAACTAGTTAGAGCATGTGGGGAGACATCTTAAAGCTCATTAGGTGATTTGCATCACAATCAAAACAACTCAACAAAAGGATTAGTAAAAAGTGGAGGTTGATTAGAGGATTACACCTCAAAGTTTGACAATAATGAGAACATAGTGTGTGCCCAAAAGACAACATGATGTGAAACCTGAAGTTTTTGTGACATAGGATCCTAAAAGTGATATCCTTTATGTGTAAGCCCATAACCTAGGAAGCAGCATAATTGAGCTTGAGGCTTTAACTTGTTATGTCCAAGAGGTGGAAAAAGGACAAAACATGTACAAGCAAAGACCTTAAGAAACTCATAAGTGGGAAGAATATCATAGAAATGATCATGTGGAGATTGATTATTGATGACTGATGATGGAATCCAATTAATGAGATAAACAACTATGCAAGTGGCTTCACCTCAAAATCGCCATAGACAAGAGGATGAAATGAGCAAAGCATGAACATTATCAAGGATGTGTCCATGTTTGCATCCGGCTCACCCATTATGTTGAGAAGTGTAAAGACAAGACTATTGTGTTTGTGTACCTTATTCTTTGAGAAATGATTGAAGTTTAGTACTAAGGTATTCTATAGCATTATCAATTCTTAAAATGTTGATAATTTTGAAGAATTGAGTTTTGACTATGGTAGCAAATTTAGTGTAAAACTGTGGTAATTTAGAGTGATTTTTCATGAGATATATCCAAGTAAAGCGAGTATGATCATAAATAAATAGCACAAAGTATTCGAAACATCCCATAGTGGGTGAAAGAGCGCAACCCTTGAAATCAAAGTGCATGAGGTCAAAAGGAGCAGTAAAAATAAAATGATCATTTGAAAAGGATAAAGTTAGTTGTTTTACAGATTGACATGACACATAGTACAAGAATTCATTCTTAACAAGTCCTAATAAACCACAAGAGATAAAATGACAAAGTTTATGGACAAAGCGTGTCCAAGTTGTGAATACCACAAATGGAGAGGAAAAATGTAACACCCCATGTACTTTAGTGAATAAATTAGAAATTTGCGATCTTTATTTTAACATTTTAGGGACTAAATTGATTAGAATTAGAATATGTTGACCTTATGTGAAATTCTGAGATAGTTAGAGACTATTAGACTATTTTACCCAAACTTTGAGACATGTGGCAATTTATGAATGAAGCCACCGAAGGCTCTAGAAGATTTTAGAAAAGCAAATCTTCATTTCTTCTCTTAACCTTCCGAACCCATTCCCCTTTCTCTTCCAAGTGTGAGGGTTAAAGGAGAAGTTGTTATCTTCACTTGCAGTGCTCTCCTTCAATTTCCTTTCAATTTCTACTGATCCCCTTCAAGTTAGTGCTTGATTCCCATAGGTAAGTGTAAGTTTAGCTATAGATTTGGGTTAGAGTTTTGGGGGAAAATTATAGAATTTGTTATAACAAACACAAAAATTAGTTTAAGTGGTGAGATATGACTATAAATATTTTGTTTAAGAAATTTTTGAGTATTATAATTTTTGTTTAGTAAAATTTAGAATTTTGGGCACTGGTGGAGTGTAGAGCCGGAAGTGGATTTTGGTTGATGTTGGAGTTCTTTGTGAATTTTTATTAGCTAATTACTTGTTGGAACTGTTCACGCGTTACTGTTTTTTAATTTCTTTCAATAGCAAGTTCTATGGAATATGTGAACTGTGTATGTGGTTATTAGTGTGAACTTGAATTGTCAGTACCACTGATTAATGGAAACATTAAATACAATAAAGTTCTAATGTTATTTTGGACATATTCTAAAATTGTTTGACATGCGTATGTGTTTGTGGTTATGGAGTAAGTGGACCTAAACTTAAATCTTTTGTTTAAGAAATTTTTTAGTAATAGAATTTTTGTTTAGTAAAATTTGGAATTTTGGGCACTGGTGAAGTGTAGAGCCGGAAATGGATTTTGGTTGATGTTGGAATTCTTTGTGAATTTTTATTAGTTAATTACTTGCTGGACTGTTCATGTGTTACTATTCACATGTTACCGTTCACGTGTTACTGTTCACACACTATACTTTAATTTCTTTCGATAGGAAGTTCTATAGAATATGTGAACAGTGTATGTGGTTATTAGTGTGAACTTGAATTGTCAGTACCATTGATTAATGGAAACATTAAATGGAATAAAGTTCTAATATTATTTTAGACATATTCTAAAATTGTTTGACCTGCGTATGTGTTTGCTGCGATGGAGTAAGTGGACCTAAACTTAAAGTTTGGGTTATTCAGTGGACCTCTGCACAGTAAGGTTAGTATTGCAATTAACTCCAGTACAGTGTTGCTAACACACATCAGTGAATTTCATAGCATTGTGTGATTTTCAGTTTTTATGCAATGTGCTTGTGACATCGTATTTGTGAGCATATGATTTTATTATATGAATTTGATTTAAATGTCATTTATTATTCTTTGACATGTTTAATTATTTGTGAGTTAATTTGTGATATTAAATTGTTATTTAAATATTAAGATTTATAATATTATGTGATTTGGTTCTGTTGTATCGCATGCTCTTTGTGTGTATAGGTTTAGGCATTTTAGGACCCAAGTTGATAGCTTAAACTTAATACTTACTGGACTTTTAGCTCATAAAATCCCCCCCCCCATTTCAAATTAGTAGATTGGAGTAGCAACCACTTAGCTTGAGAGCTTTCGATATAAATCTCATATGTCGACTTCAGTACTTTTGATGTGAAGGCGGATTAATGTATTATCAAAACAATAATTTTTATTTTATTATTTTAGAAAGTATTTTGAAAAGTAATTGCTTTAATGTATATGACATTAATATTAATTTAAACGGGTATAGTCTGACTTATTTTACAACTTTGGGTATTTCGATATTTTTCTATAGATAATTTTTTTTTTTTTTTTTTTTATCTTTAGGGGTACATTTCCCTACTAAGTAAACCAGGAGATTTATCAAAAAGGGGATGTTACAAAAAATGTTTGAAGTAGCACAGGCTTGAAAGATTTGTTAATATGAAATTTGTAAAGACTTTAACTCAACAACACAAAGTAGATTTTTGAATGAGATGATCATTTAGAAATGATGATGTCACGCCCCAAAACCCAAATCTGGGAACGTGGCAGACGCCGTGCACTCGTGAGAGGGTCTCACAAATGCACAAGGCTCGGAACTTACTGAGTTCATAATTACTAATTCAGATGATTCAGATAATATCTAATTTCTTTTTTTTTTTCCTAAATATTTACTTGTCAAAATGTACACAGAGTTATAACTTCATCTATACAATCCTTACTATCACTAAAGGAGTTCTGTACACAAAAGTTTCTAAGTCAAGCATGGATGACTAGTGGCTTAGCTACAAAACCAAATCCAAAAATGCCTAGCCGTCTAGCTCGTCACTCCCCTGGGCTTCCCACGCGTCAGGTCTCACTACCTGAAATGGCGAACAAGGAAACCGTGAGATAAAAATATCTCAGTAAGTAAACATGGGTGCCCGGAATCAAAATTTAAAGCATGCCAAATAATCGGTTGATTATAAACAGAGCGTTTCAATAGCAAACCATTGATGCAAACTAAAATCACATAGTGGTCTCCTCTATTAGTCATGGCCAGTGTTATAAACCTCCCACTGGCGGGCACACGATTACTAGTGTATGATCCCACTAGTAGGATATTACAAGCGAACCGGTTCTATCACTAACATGTCGACATGTGTTAGTGTTTGTAAACCTCCCCCATTAGCGGGGTCACTAAATACATGACCACATCGGAGACAAACCCCAGCAAGATTTATAGAAAACCACGATTCACGATCGTTCTCACTTTCAAAAATAAACCGAAGAATCTCACGTGGGCATGCTCAATTCTAGAAAATAAGGAAAATAATAAAAGTTCAACTTCTCTTTTTAATCATGCTCAAATGCAAATAAATCCATTTAAACCTCGCCACCATCTCAGAAAACAATTAAAATATGCTTCAAAAACTTAAAGGCATTACTATAATTTACTTACCTTAATTATACAAGACAGAGGGTCTAATCCGAGTGCTAAGGCCACAGGACAATCAAGGACCTAATCATAATATGTTCGAATTAATATCTATGTATATACAATTATACAATTACACATATACAATTTTCAAACTCATGGACAAGAATTTGGGAGAACCGGCCTTGACAGAAAAATGGCCAATTCACGGTATTCTCCCCTTTTTTTCTCTTGTACATCACACAACAATCAAACCCACTAATTTCCTACACAAATCATCAACCAAAACCCATTTTCAAATGGCCAAAATTCATCCTTATTTCAATAGAATTTTCGGACAACCCAAGCCCATTTCATACAACCACTTAAACTCACAAATCAGCACTTAGTCAACCAATTCTCGGAGACTAAAGAAGCTAACTTACCAAAAATTCCCAACAAGCAAAGTTGGAGCTAACGGGAATGGGAGGACCGACGAGAATTGGAGGAGCTTCACGCAGACTTCTAGCAATTGAAAGAACAAAATTAAGATGAACCCACACATAAATCAAGGCTGAAAAGAAGAGTTTCTGGGCTGATTTTACCAGGAAAAACCGAACTCACACCCAGCTGTGGCTGGCGGCAGGGGGGAAGAAGCAGAGCAGATCCAGGATTCCTGGGTTGAGGGAGAGAGTTTTAAGCTCTAAATCTTGTTATTTAACAAGACAAGGGAAAGAATTTACCAAGATCTTACCAATTTTCGAGAGGAGTAGGTGTCGGTGAAGGCTGGTGGTGTTCGGCTG